TCCAGATGAGATCCTTCCCCCCTGGCAGCCAGCTCTTCAATAGGTCTAGGAGAGGTGCAGCCTGGCTCCACCCCTTCCGGCAGCACAGGTGAATTGAATTGCCTTCACCTGTGCTCCTCTGGCTGACTCACGGCTCGCCTCAGGTGATCAATCAGAGGTTCAGGCCGTGACTCAGCAGTTCCCGTACAGTAAGGTGTGAGTGGAAATGTGAGTTTGGATTGAATGAAAGGAAAGTAAACTGGAGCCCAGACTAGTTTTGTGATGTACTGGGTGAGCGTTAATTAGACATCAGGAAACACATTTGTAATCGGATAGTGAATTGGATAGCTGTTTTAGAGTGTTATACTGGGAGGATTTTGTGTTTTTTCCCAAAGGCTGTAGCTTTATATCTTGTCCTGGCAGTTTATAGAGAGAAGTTCAGAAGTGTTCTCTGTATGTATTTCTGTAGTACACTGTAAGAATTTTCCTAGCTACCTTTTGGATATAACTATCTTTTTTTTTTCTTTTTTTTTTTTTTTTTTTTCCCCAGTAACTTGCTTTTAGACTTCATTGTTATGGAGAAACAGATACTAAAACTTAAAAGCAAGTCTAAAATATTTAACGATGGCATAATAGCTGAAGGAACTTTGGATGTATTGGGTTTTCTTCTGCTTAAATTTCCATTTAGGCAAAGTGGGAGGCTAGTTGGATCTTCAACAACCGCACTGGCAACTAAGTTAATTTGAATGTGAGGTGTTTCTTTTTTCCCATGTGAACCAGATGTGCTGATTTAATTAGATTGTTTTTGTGACTTTCTATGTAAGGAGAAAAGTGTTATTTTACATTAACTCTTTGTATGTCATGGAACAGGTGGGATTCAATTTAGTGTTAATAACTGGGAAGTGAGGGAAGGAATCCTTACAAAAATGCAATTGAAGATTGAGGTTGAATGAAGTTACATTTTCCATAGATCATTTCATTTTATTACTTTAATGAGACAGTTTTTTTATTTGACTGTTACCTTATAGGGATTTATAAGTATTTTTATTTAATTAAAAAAAAAAAGCCTAAAACCAGGTAAGATCATGGTTATGCATTGTGGAGTCACAAATTTCCTACCATCGCTGTGAATTATGTTTGATATCACAAAGTTCTCGGGGAGGTCAGATGTATCACCAGCCTCCAATTTTGAGTAACATAATAAAATAATAAACAGGAGAAGAATGTTGTTTGTCTGCTTTTGAAAAGAGTTTCACGCTTCCATTTCCTGAGAATATTTTTGTACGCTCTTTTTATTTGCAAGTTGCCTTTGTATATTCTTTTCCCATATGGGCAGCAAAATCATTAACTTACAGGAAGAGAGAGCTGGGGCTAGCAAAAGTCTTCAGAAGATGGAACAAATAGGTTCCTGTAAATGTGGGGAATATGGCAACTCCTCTGGTCTTCTTGCTCTCTTGGGTCTTGGACACCCTGCAACTGAAGACAGAGAACTAAACATAAACCTGTGTTGGTGTGTAAGTGAACTCTGTTGTTAGTCTGTCCCTCTGAGAGCCATGGCAATCTGGCTGCCAGGTGGAGAAAGGCAGAGGAGAAATGCAGAGGTTTTTGATTAGATCTCCGAGTTCCTTAAATTTCTCACCTGACAGCTGGGCAGGACAAGCCTTCATATTGCCATTCAGTCACGGTCTGTGCTTTGGGCGACCGTATCACTCCTAAATCTTTCACAGGTCTAAAGCTAGTTGTATTCTGCTGACAAAGGAAGGAAGGAAAGCCTTGGTAGGAATTTCTGGAGAGCCTGAATCGGGGCTTTGTGGTTCAGTTTTTGCTCACAATAAGAAAATGAGATTTCTTTTCTCTCCTTAGAAGTTGTGTAAGTGTGGTTATGTTCATTTTATGTTGTTGCTTCTACAAACGGTAATAATACTGGATATTAAGGTGTTGGAATTTGAGGGTGAAAAATGGAATAGGGAAGATACATTCTGCAGAAAAACAGATAGGGAGAGAGAGAGTGTGGGGAGGAGTTGTGGGTATTGCATATCCTAGGAAACATGCATGGTTGTGGCCACAATTGCATAATCAGAATATTTGAAAGAAATATGACTGCATATATAAGGAAAGAAGGACAGTATGTGGAGATGGCTATCACTGACAGGGAAATACAAGCTTGCTCTTTTTGCCTTGTTCTGTTAGAATAGAGCAGGTAATTAATGGCAGAGCAGTCTTCTTGCTCCTCTCTCCCCATAGTCTCCTTCTTTATCGTCTCCCTGTCCCACCTCTAGCATATGTGTGCACATTCCTTTTTGCAGTTCATTTGCAAGTGTCTGCTGTATTAGCAGGATCTTATTGTGTCTGAAGGGTATAAAAAACATGCCGATCATTCTGGGAATATGAATGTGGACAGAAGTGCAGCAGCTGAGGAAATATAACTGCACTGCCCAAAAGAAGCCCCAGAAGAAAGAGGCTTTCTAAATTATACATGGTTGCTACTGTAAAAGCAATAAAATTAAATTAAATTGAAATGTAAATATATGTCATCTTAGATTTGTGTATGAAGAAAGGAATTTGGCTACAGCAAGCTTCTGGTGTTGCGGTGCACTGAAGATTGCTCCCGCAGCGTCATTTCTCTGGACAGTTCCATGAGTAGCATCTAAATAGTTCTACATGTGGTGCCTGGATAATCTGCATATACTTTACATTGTGCTGAGACTCTTAACTAGTGGTTCTGTGGTGTTGGAGCTGTTCCTGAGACTTTTAGATCGTCGGGATTTGCTCCACTTGATTTGAAGGAGTTGGCATCTGTGTGCTGCAGCATCTTGCTTCCACTGTGGAACCAGAAAGTGGTCTGTTCCTCTTTTGAGTCATTTTTCATACTTAGTAAAGGCAGAAGAGGTTGATTACTGTGCCTCACTGATGCTCTGTGCTGTTGGGTGGTCTTTGTATTCCTCTTTTTAGCAGTACAGAAGTGCTTTTAAAGCATCTTAAGGAAAAGTGATTGAAAATGCGCTCAATACAAATCTCTTAAGCCCACATTGATGGAGGTGCTGGTGAGAAGCTTCTGCTGGGGCAGGAATTTGGAAGATGGGTGCCATCTGTGTTCCTGCCACTCTTTGGCCAAATTGCATTTCCAGCCTTTTTCTCTTACGCTGTTTTTCATTAAATGAATTGAGTTTTCCTTGAAGTGTCTGCCCATAAATAGTCCTTCCTACACAATGCACTCAGGTTGTTATTGCTCTTCAAGTCATAGCAAAGCAGACGGGAACCAAAATGAAAAGTAGGAGCTGGGAGGGGAGTGGGATAGCTGAGACTACAGAAGGAATCTTTCTTCTCTCTCCGTGGTTTCTCAGCTGCAGCCATAAGTCTCTTATTAATGGAAGTGTGAAGAGAAAGAAGAGAGAGAAGTGAGTTTAATTTTATGCCTTTCTGCTAAGAAAAAAGACAATAGTTCTGAAAAGATGTGGAGGAAAAGTGAAACAGCTTTAAGGAAAAAAAAAAAAGTCCTATGAAGTCAGCATAGTTACCTCATTCTCAACTCAAAGTCGAAAGGTAGTTTAGTGCAAGTGCAATGCTTTGAACCTTAGTGCAGAACTAAAAAGGGATCTGACTCTCTTCCCATACAGCAGCAAAGCAGTAGCTGTGGCACCCAAGCAGCCACTGATGTATTGCTGCATCCTTGTCGATCCTGTGCCTTCTTTGCAGTTAGAAGTTTGTAAAGAGCAGATGCTCAGTCAGTCTGGCATTGTGTACTGGGTAAGAATCTCCTTGGATGAAGGACTCGGTTTGTTTATTCTGCACTTCTTCATAGGAAACAGATATCCAAGTAGAAGTGCTTGTGTCTAGTCTCTGTATAGATACGCAATGATGAGAGCATAATTCTAGTGGCTGAATTTAATGAACGTATGTATGCTAGTTGAAATGGAAGTTGCACATTTTCTTTGGCTTAGGTGTATTCAGACTAGATGCAGAATGTTATTTTAGCCTTTTTTATTTCTTACTTACAAATCAACACAGTTTCTCTTACCATTTGTAAAAGCGTGCTCAGTGTGCAAGTAGCTTTCCTTAGTTGCAGAGTTAGAAAGGCAGTGATGGAGAGCAGCCACGGTTCCACTGCAGTGTGGCTGCCTGCTTGCTTTCCATGCTGCACATCTGCATTTTTATTCTTCATTTTGTGTGGGTTCAGTTTCCCAACTAGCAATATTGCCAAGCAATTCTTGGCAGTTTCCTGCATCCAGTGACATTTTTCTTCTGATTCTTTTCCCAATGTCCACCACTCCTCTCTCCTCCCCCCCTTCCTTTTTATTTTTTTTTTTTAAAATGTAGTTTGCTAAGTAGCCAGGTAACTTTTGGTAGCTGGACACACACAGCTTGACCTCGTCCTTATGATCAGACAGTCTTGCATTGTATTCAGCAAAAAGTTTTGTAATAAAATAATTTTTGTTTTTGTAATTTACAGTCCTGTGAAGGATTTATCTGCCACATCTTGGTGTACAGTTATGAAGTTTAACTGTCTTGGACATTAGGTTAGGCTTTAGCTCCCTAAAGGCTTTTACAGTGATGCAGTTGTACTACTAATCTCTTTTCAGCCTGAGAAACTTGAGGTGAGAGACAGGCAAAGAGGGGAATGTAGGCCTGAGATCAAACAGACCTCTGGTCTGTATCAACCACAGTTATTACTTCCTTATGATTGTAACGCTGTAGATGAGTAATACGCTGCGTATCAGGTACCAGAAAGTTCTAACTTGGTTGCTGGTCTTAGAGAAGAAAATTTTGGAGAACTGAATCTTCAGCTGCCCTTGGGACAGTACAGTATCTTGTGCTGTCCCTTTCTGCCAGGGGCAGATGGAGGCAATTTGTGTCATTGAGTCAAAATACCCACTTAGACCGTGATGCAATTCCCAGTTAACCTACTGTAGGCCTTATGACAAAATCTGCTGTCAGTTGACCTCTGGAAAAAGGCAAACTCAGCTGATTAGAAAAATTTCCTCTGGTCTCACATGGTGTTGATGTCTGGAAATCTCTTGCAGTGTACGTGCCGCAAAGACATGGTGAAGATTTCCATGGATGTCTTTGTGAGGGTTCTGCAGCCAGAACGTTACGATTTATGGAAACAAGGAAAAGACATTGCTGTCCTGGACCACATGAAACCCACAGCTCTGACTAGCCCAGAACTAGATGCCTGGAATGAGACGAAGGCAGACTTGAAGGCCAAATTGCTTCGCAGGTAAAAACAAACAAAAAAAATCCTACACAACAAAAAACAGTGACAAAAAAAGTTGTCTGGATACTATGTTTTAGTTGCTAACCCTTTAAACTCTGTAATTCTCAGTTTGGTGGAATAGTTCATACTCATCTCTTTATACTTGCTCTTGTATCTTTTCTTGGATGATGCAGTCCCTCATTGTTCTGTTTCTTCTGAATATTACGGAACCCCTTTATTTTTATTATTATTATTGTTTGAAAGTAGGACACTGTGCCTTGTCAGATCCCATCTTTTATCCTGGAATACAAAAAAATCTATAGTAAGCATTTATAGCTGCACTTATTAGAAAGCAAGAAGAAAAAGCTGTCAATTGCAAAAGGGATTTTATGCATGCCTTTTTCTGCTCCCTTTGATCTTTGTATTAATTTTCTGCAAGTTCATCATGTTTTTCATGTATTACAGCATGCTTGAATTGAAAATTTGGCATGCTAACCTTTTACTGTTGGAATCTTGCTTTATAGGATAGGAGATGAGGAAGAGGACAACAAGCACCGGTATGTTACTTCCCTCATCAACTTCAGTGATTACAGTTTTCTTCCTATCGAGTTTCTTAAAACAGTAACTCCTAAAGTATTTTTCTGGTTCAATTAGTTGTTTCATGTCTGCTTCCTTGAAAGGGCACAGAAGATCTTGGGGTATCAAAATAATCTTCATCTTGTGCTTGTGTAGATTTCTGAGATCTCAATCTCTTTTGTCCTATTGGAGAATCTCAGCTGCCTGTTCTCGTGTTCCATTCTTGAGTCCTGGAAGCAGCTGATGTCCTGAATAAACCAAAGCTAGTGATGTGATATTTTTACCATGATTAACTGATTATAGATAAAGCTGACTGGTCACCAAAGTAAGTAGTTATTAAAAAGTTGCTGCTGCCTTGGAAAGTGGAATTAGACTTGAGTGTGTTAGGAATGAGCTTCCAGTGGGAGAAATTCCTTGTCGTGCTTCCTTGAAGAGTGCTATTTTACAGGGAACTGAATTATCAGAGGGCTTTAATGTACTCAGATGTAAAGTGGGTGCTCCTCCATATGCTCCTTTACACTTTTTTTTTTAAACACCATTCTGTCTGTTACTCAAAATACTTCCTTTGTAATTCTGCTCACATCTACTGTTTTATTGAATTTCTGATGTCAGAGTTGGAAATTTCTGGAAATTTAACTGCTTCATCTAAAAATAATATTCTGCTCATAACTTTCATTCAGTTATAATTTCCTTGAAATTCAGAAATGAAAGCTTTAATTAGTTGTTAGATTTTGGGGGTCATGTCTGATAAGGACTTTGAGTGACATTGAGTTTTAAAATTACAGACCTAATCAATTCAATTATATTGAATGCATTTGAGTTTCATGTTTTTAAAAAAAAAAAAAAAAAAAGGATACAGCAGTAAGAGCGTTCCTCTTTCTCTAGCATTGGTCTTTGTTGTCCTCTGGTTTTGTCTTGCATGGTGATCTGTGCCTTGCCTTTTCTACGTTAAAGAATTGGTCCCTGATTTCATGAATGCTGAAAAGGAAAAGCATGTTGTCCTTTAAAGACATGCTCATAAAATAAAGTAGATATTTTGGCAGATAACTGACCTCAGCAATAGTGCTTCACTTCAGAGGTTATTTTCCTGAAATGTTTTCATTTCTTTTTTCTGTCATGAGTTTCAGGAAAAGCAGGGTGATCTGAGACTCAGCAGGTGTGATGTATGCTCTTTGGGCTATGACTCTCTGAACTCCAGTGTGCCCCTTAATCTTTTTCTTCCACGTCTGTAAATTTGGAGTCTATGGAAATACTTCCTATGGATTTTCAGGGTAGTTTAGAATTATTTACTGTTTGCACACATAACACCCATGTTTATTTTCCCTTTTGAAAACTGTTGCTTAGCAGAGAAGCTCCTCTATTTCAGCCTGAGCTACTGTAAAACATCCAGCCACTTTTTTTAATCTACTCATTGTCCGTAGATTTTTTTCAGTATTATCCTGGAGCAGGTTTCAAGCTGTTGAATCCTGCTTAGTAGAAGTTTCTCTCCTATGCTTACGTCTTGGAAGGACACTTGACTTGAAGACTGACTTTTCTCAGAAGGATGGACTTTGCTGGAAGAATGGGATCCACCTTATCCCAAACATCTTCACAGTTGTACCTACTTAAAATAAGTCACTCTGTGGTCTGTACTTCAAAGAGTACATATGCTGCTTTTTTCTCTCTCTCCTGGAAACTCAAATCTTTTAAACTCTACAAAGAGATATGCTATTTTTATTCTAAGGTCATTCATACCTTGAAAATCTCTACTGTGTTTATTTTATGGCTTCAGCAAGAGAGTGTTTTAGTCTGGCCCACAAAAAGCCCATTTCTGGTATGCAAATTATTTCAGTTACAGAATATCTTCACTGGAAATGCACAGCCTTTAGCTGGTAGTCCTGGAAGCAGTTTCTTTAAATGGCTGTGTTCTTTCTTTCTTTGTTCATTTTTACACAACTACAGAGCCAGAAGAGCACTTTAAAAACATCCTTTTTATCTACTGAGTATGTAAAGGACTGTAACTCAAATTTTGCCTCACGTTCCAACACAATGGCAGTAAAGCCATACACATTTACTTGAAAGAACATTTGATGCTGGATACTACTCCAGTGCTTTTTTTTTTTACCAACTGTGGAAAGTTCCAGCTGTTAAGGTAAAGTTGTACAGGTCTGTCTTCTCTTGCCTTGACTTTCCTCCTCTGTAAAAGGTGCTGTGTACTTTGAATGTCAGTGTAGAGAAAAGCTGATCCTTCTGGGTTCAGTTGTGTGTTCTTGCTGATGAATGTCTTGCAGGTGCGAAGTTAACATCTATACTTGGAGTGCTACCATATGGCTAGAGCCTAGCAATTATAAATTACTGTGCATATGGATCAACTTTCTTTTTTATTAATCGTTCATTTCAGGTTGAATTTTTTCTTCTTTCTTTATGGTTGCCTGATTAAGGACTGTTAACTTTGCAGCACTCCAAATCTAATTAGCAGCTGAGTTTGTGGGGATGTGAAACTAAATTTCAGCTTTTCTAGATATTTAAGCTGATGGATAAGAATGGAGCATGAGGGTGTTTTAATTTGTTACATGGTAATAGATGCAGAGGCCTAGGAACGAGGAAGCCATTTGGAAGATACAGTTTTAAGAAACAAAAAACAACTCTGCTAAGAATGCTGCAAAATTGTAGGTTTCTGAATTAGTCTCTTGAAAAAGAAAGCTTGGTAGGTTTGCGCTCTACTCCGAAGGAGCTATTTGGTGGATATTTTTAAAAGTGTGTACTGACTGACATGGAGTTAACGCTCATGCGAGGCTGTGATTTTGGTACTGTAGCGAAAAAGTGCTGATAATACTGATGTTTTGGTTGCTGCTGAGCAACATTAGCACAGTGTCTGGGCCTTTTCGCTCTGTATCTCTGGCCAGTGAGCAGGCTGGAGTGGGCAAGAGGCTGAGACTGGGACAACGGCCTGCGCAGGCTGGAGGGATGTTCCATGCCGCCTTATGTCATGCTCGGCAGTAAAGGCTGGGGAGGAGGAGCAGCCCGTGGGTTGGGTTTCTAAGGTGGTGTTACTCAGAGGCTGGCTGGGCGCCAATCTGCTAGTGGGAAGCAGTAAGTGATTTCCTTTTCTTTGCTTTCCTCTTCACTTTTTTATTTTTTCATCTTTCTTTCATCCATTAAACTGACTTTGTCTGGACTTGAAAGTTTTCGCTTTTGTTGTGCCTATTTTGTCCTTTTGTCCTCTGTCCTTCTGGACAGGTGCTTGGCTTCTGACATGGCTCCTAAGCAAAATATATTATCCTGACTTCTGACTTTGCATTTTTCTTTGCATTGTGACTATTGCAATCTTTTTGTTTTAGTGACACTGATTGGGCCCTGTTACAATTAGTTTGTTAGTATTAATCTGATCGTGTTATTATGCTTTTTTTTTTTTTTTTTTTTTTTGTCTTCTTCGTAGACCTTGAACCCTGAGAATTATACTGCTGAAAAGTCTCAGTCTATTGATTATTCTACAAGAACTCATTAGATGGTGTTTTGGGAAAGTGTCAGTGGGGGGGTAGTGCTTCACACCTGGAAGATGCTCGTGGGCTTCCAGCGGTTTGCCAAAATGTAGCAAGTAGAGAATGAAAAGAGATGACAGAATGGAGACAGAAAGAAAGATTTGTAACAAGTTCTCATCTATGCTTCAAAGTACCAGCAAAATAGATTTAAAACGAAAACCATTTTAACTACAGCTCGCAAGCTTATATTATCAATGGCGGAAAAAGGTCTTTAAGAAACCAGAACCATTAATGGCTGCTGTGAATGGATCTTAAATGTGTTATGCAAGGTTCATCTGTTTCTTTTCAGATATGTTTTGTCCTGCAGCTATTGTTAGCTACCTTGTGTTTTCTTTCCAAAGAAGATCTTTTTGTTTTGTATTCAGTTTTTTCAGTTGCTGATCATTTTCTATATTGAAGGCTGTTTTTTTTATGTCATGTTGCTCTTCTCTACTTCTAGGTCTCACAGAAAAAGGAGTCAACCCAGAAGACATAAAACAGAGGATCAGAAGTCTCTGGGGGATGTCATGGCTATTGAAACTGCCTTGGAAGATGTGAAAGTGAAAGAGGAACTGAAAAGAGGGCCAGACCTAGAGGAAGAAGACAGAAGCAAAGTGGTTGAGGGAGAAGGTAAGGACTCTGCTCAGCGATGGCAGATTCTCAGTGAAGAACTACTGGGAGCATGCTATTTCTCTAAAACATGTTTGTAAATACCTTGTCAACTGTTGTTTATTTCTGTTGAAATTTCAGTGAAGTCTTACCCAGAATTAAGTCTGTGCTCACTGAAATATGCTATCACTTACAGCAGCAATTGATTTTTCCCTCTCTTTAAGGATTGAAACCAAATAGATTTCTTGGCAGGGATGGCTTAGAAGTCCTGCCAAAACTATTACATTTTTGCAAAAATATGTTTTAGGGATGGAATATTTTAAAGTATTTTATGAAATAGCAAATAAATGCATTTTGTGGCCCCCTCTGGAAAGTAAAATTTTGTTTATTCCCTTCTGCAATTAATTTTTTTTGCCATTTCCACCCTTTTTCCCACTTCTTACAGACTGAGGGTAAGGTGAGCCTTAGGTTGTATGGGATCCACAGCTGCTGCATGCTACGTCTTAGAGCCATCCATGACATCTCCCAGTCCTTTTTGACTTCTTGCATGTAAAATCACAGGTTTCAAGCTGTTGGGGAGAAGGCAAAAAGAAATAGGAGCTGTTGCAGTGGCAGGGCTGTTTTCCATGAATCCATGGCCACATTTGTATGCAACCTTTGGTAAGGCTGCGTTAGTCTTTCCCTGTACATTCAGGTATCTGTAGTGCGCACATATTTCTTATATTGCAGTCCTCCTTTAGGAAACAGAGTCTCTAAGATTCTTTGAGGCTATTTGTTAGAATACACCATGACTTCTGTCACTTGGGGGAAAGTATGACTGAAGGCTTGTTGCAAAAGCAGAGAATTATCTTGCGTGTAACATGTTCCTTGTGTGTGTTTAGTACAAAAGTCTGTCCTTGGAGGCTCTTTTTGATATGTATATTTTCTTCAATGCATGTGGGTAAGTGATTGGTATTTATATGTTGCACTCTCTCGTTGAGGCTTTCAAGCATTTCATAAACATTAATGAATTCGTTTTCATGTGTTGTACATCCATTATTTATTTTGCATTTGAAGAAAACTGATGCCACGCTGCTTGCTGAATCTTGATAATTTTAAAGGATCAGTGGAATTTACTCACAGTGAAAGCTGTGAGTAAAGAATTGGGATGATCTTTCAGTTCTGTGGTCTCTTAGCTAGACAGTGTAGATCTAGGAGGTAAGGAGTTTGAAAATCATTCTCTTGCACAGCAAATGTAGCATAGTGTGAATTGTTAATTTGTGGTACTCCAGCTTGGAAGTGGCAGCAGTGTGTTAAATTGTATGCCCTTAGCTCTTATGCAGGTTTAATAGTTAATGTTTGTAATAAATGACCTGAAAATGCTGATATCCCTTGAGAGATGAGATAAGTGACAAGGACAGATCTGAGATCCGTAGAGTAACAGAGAAACAATAAAAACTCTGTTCTAGTTGAATAGGTTCTAAATCATTCATTTAGGCTACATGTTAACATCTCCTTAACTGTTAGCAAAGGAAGGACAAATTTATTTTCATGACCATTGGAGAAAGCATTGCTGTAAGTAGACTTTATAGCACAATTTCTGAGGAGCAGAGTGTTTGATGTGGCTGTTAGCAAATATACACGTTTCTTAATGCAATATAGCAATTAAATACCACTGAATTCTCTAATTTTCTACATCCTACAGTCTGCATGATATCTCACAGTTTTGTATGGAGAGGAGAATCTTTTTTGATGGCTCTACTCTTCGCAGTTTAGCTTTCTGCTCTCCATCGCTTCCTTCTTCTTATGCTCTGCCATGAAATTGGTTTGATTTCCCACTTATATCAGAAGAGATGGCCTTAAGAAGGAAGAAAAATGAGATTTAGAAGTAGATCTTAATACTTTATGTTTGTTATTTGGACTTGCTGAGTATTAATAAATTTCAAGATTTCTCACCCTGATACATTAACGTGTTTTTTGTCTTTATGACTCAGCTTTATATTCATAATTTATTACAGAGCTATTAGTGCGTTTAGAATTCTTAACAGGTTGTCTTGGGACTTGAAATTAAAAAGGAGAGTTTTTGAGCTCTGCTTATCTCTGTGTGTGCAGTATGAATACAGTCTATGAGTCAGCAGGTGTTATCAGCTGTGCTGTATGCATTAATAGTCCTGCAGATTTGGGCTACAAACCCATATATCTTAAGAGGACATCTTTCTTCCAAATTCACTTGAAAAGAAACAATGAGATGCTACCTGTAAAATAGCTGTGCGTTATTTTCTGGCCTGTTTCATTAAATGACATTTCCATTCTAATGCTTTATAGACTCATTGCACAAAGGTATGGTGTAACCTCTGTAGTAAGCAGTTTGGTTTCCCCATCAACTATCCTTTCCCTCAAAGATATTGGATATCTGAAGCTTCAGTGAAATCAGTGTAGTTATTTCAAGCTATCTACAGACAAGCAAGTTTTTCCACCATATGAAAATCTCATCCTGCTCTTTTTTTCCACATGTATTAGCTCTGCTATTTGCATTTTTCTCCTTCAGTGGAAGACCAGCTGACAGGGACTCTTCTCCTACTGATTCTCCATATTGATTTGTCTGAAGAGATCACTTTACTTTCTTGGAGTATTCATGATAGCCAGAAAGTGCCTTTGAATTTTGTTTCACTTTGTTGTTCTGCTGATTTTATAGATTCACTTGCAAATTAGTTTGTTCATCTTAGTGCAAAAACTTTTAAACAAAGTTCTGCATGACAGCTGCTGTGCAATTACTCATTTAGAAGTCAATAAAGCTGGTGAATGGCATTTGTTCTGTTGTTGGGTAGAGAGTTTGCTGAGTGTATAGGGAGTAAATATGATCTGGTTTTGTACAACTGGGGAAAAATCCAATTTGACTTTCATTGAATGTTGTTGTTTCTCTAAGGAAATTCAATATTCCTTTTATCTGTGATGGAACAAACCAGTTTATCTGAGAGACTGCCAGCACAAGTACTACAATAGCTATTTGGGCTGGACTTGTTTATCTTTTTTCTTTTTTTTTCAGCTGTAAAAATTAGTATAAATAAAGTTGTCAGACCAGATTCTGGGAAATATCCAAGTTCTGGTGCCCACTGGCAGATTTCAGCCAGGAATTTGGCACTTCATCTTACTGTGGAATTATTCACCTTCCACTTTCAAATCCTTCTTCTTGCAAATATCACATTATTGTGTGATGGCTCATCTGTTTACAAGGTTTGGTTGGTTGGCTTTGCTTTATTCCCTAATGGAGGAGACTGAGTAGGTTTGGGCTGGTAAAGCTTTGTTATCAGGATGAATAGGCTTTCTCTGTCTTTTGTTGTCATCAGACCTCATCGTATTAGTGGGGAAATGACCTTTTGCAGTAGAGTTGTCTAGTCATAACATCTGCAATCTCTTATGAAACAAATTGAGCACTTGCATTTGTCTGTGGAGCAGCTATTTGCTCTCCTTTCAATGAATGATAACATTTATTTGTGAAGTGAGGAAGGAGTTGGGTAAAGGGAACATACATCATTGTAAAGGGATGAAGGCAAGCTATGAAGGCATCTCCAGTCCTAACCTAGAAGCACTTACTCAAGAGCCGCTAGGAATTTTAATTACCTCTGTAAAGTTAGGCTGTGTGGATCAGAATTCAACTGTAAAGTAAAACTGTTGAGAGTTTTGTATGTTGAAAAAGGGGATTTATTTTCACAGCCACGTGGGTTCTCATCTGTGGAGACCTTCAGAAGTCTCCTGGTCACGGGCCTGGGTATCCTGCTCTGGGCAGTCCTTGAATGTCCAGTCTTAGACATCTATTACTGCACAAATATGTATATTATAAACCATACATTAAAGTGGAAATGAAAAAAAAAAATGGTGAAAAAAGAAAAATAAGTACTGTTTTAAATGTAGGTTTTATTTTATTTATGGTACCAAAAGTAATTTTTTCCTGTACACCAATGAAAGGTTTTGCATACCTCATTTGGGGATCACCGATACTGAAATACCAAAATAAAAAGGGCTAATATATTATACTGTATGTTTTTTAGCACTCTGTCCAGTTTCTGGGGGCCTAGATGCTTTCCCTTCAGGCAAGTCAAAATGACACGAGTCCTTTATTTCTAAAGTGGGCTTCTTCAAATCAGTGATGTGGTAAGACTGAATGGACCTTCAGTCTGCCTGCTGGAAGGAAAGAATGGTGTTGTAATCACAGAATCACAGAATGGCCAGGGTTGGAAGGGACCTCAAGGATCATGAATCTCCAACCCCCCTGCCACATGCAGGGCCACCAACCTCCCTGTATAATGCTATACCGGGCTGCCCATGGCCCCATCCAATCTGGCCTTGAACACCTCCAGGGATGGGGCATCCACAACCTCTCTGGGCAACCTGTTCTTTAATGTTATATATTAGACCACTTTGAAAGGGGAAAAAACATTAAATGCCCGAACATCTTGATGTATGAAGCTAAATGTTGCCTATTTCTTAAAACAGGTGAAAGCAAAGTAAAGGCTCGTCCTCCGAAAGTAAAAGGTGAGAGGAAGAAGAAGCATCTTTTTCATCAGCACCAGCACCACCTGCAAACATCTCAGCCTCTGCAGCAGCAGCAACAGCTGCCACTGCCACCAGCAGTGCAGCAGCAGGCAGAGGAGGAGGCAGCAGCAGCACGGCCGCCAGTACCCACAGCAGCACCTGCAGCATCCGCAGCAGACAAGAGCTTGCTGACCACCCCTCTCAACGTTGTTCAGCCCTCAGAGGCACCAGTTGAGGAAGATGACTTTAAGCCTCGTCCTATCATTCCCATGCTTTATGTGGTTCCACGGACCAAAAAAGTGGTGTTTGACAAAGAGCACATGTCCTGCCAGCAGGCATTTGAGCAGTTTGCTACTCAGAAGAGTCCTGGTTGGCGGGAGCAGACAGTCTCTTTGGAAATCCCTGTAAAAGAGGAGGAGAGTGCAGAAGCAGAAAATACAGAGATTGCTACAGAGGTCAGTGATTTACAGGTATATGTGACCAAGGAGGTGACTGGATTTGCTGGTTTCAAGCAATTAGATGAGAACCAGACTTGGAGTGACAAGAATCCCAAATTCCACCTGAGCAGAATAGTGCTGTGAATTACACGATCCATGACCTATAATCTATTACAGGCATCTCTTTCCCCTGACAATTTCTTAGCTGGAAACAATTTTCAAAAGAGGAGAAAGGAAAATATTTGCAATTAGCATCAGGTCAGATGAATATTGCAAAGCTCTCCTTTCCTGCATGATGGTGCTGAGAGAGCCAAAGAAATGGCAAAGCACTATTAGAAATTGGGTGGGGAGAGAGAACAAGGGGAAGAAATAAGCCTTTCTGATGTGACAACACACAATGAGAATTCCTTACATATAAGTGTTTCTAAGACATAATGGGTGCAGACTAGAGAGGAAAAGCATTGTCTGAGGTGCTGTGCCTGTGATGGGCTGCCATACCTTCATCTCCGTTCTCCCCAGTGTGGCATAAAATGTACTTGGATTTCATTTTTAATCCTTTAGCACTGCTGCTTGTCTTCATGTGGGTGAAAAAGGAAACAACCAAGAAACACGTGGCACTATTTCTGATACAAAGTAGCTTACATGCCGTGTGTTTGGTGCCTTTCACTGAAGAGGACTGTGAGCTGCTGTGATCAGTATACATGCAGTATTTACAGTGTTTGATGGTGCATAGAACACTGGATACAGTACAATATGAATACATTTGTCATAAAATGCACTGTAATGTTATAATAAAATGTTTCTGGTCATATATGCCCTGTGCATAATTTTCTTAATAGATTTTCCAGCTGCTTTTGGGAGTGACAGACTGCTCATGCGTGGCAAATTTGAAGCTGTTCTGAGCTGATTTTAAGAAAATGCTGAAGTTTCTATTTACCTGACATCTTAAAAAATAACATTGGCTTTACTTACTGCAGTAATTGGCTTGGAAAGCTCTGTTGATTCTAGCCAAAAGGCAATGAAAAGTTGACTGTAAATTCCACATCTCTTTATGACAGTAATTCTGCCTGTTGTCCTCAGCTAACCTTTGCTTGCCAAGATATTCTGGGGCTCCCATCTAACGTGTTCTGGTTTGTTACAGACTGCTGCTTTTTCAAAAATGAAGATGGAGATAAAGAAAAGTCGTCGTCACCCATTAGGCAAACCACCAACCCGCTCCCCCCTGTCAGTGGTTAAACAGGAGACCTCGAGTGACGAGGGTGAGTGCAAAGGCATGAAGAATGCTTGTTTGTCTTGTCTAATATGAAAAACTGCTGCAGTCAGTAAACAAAACTGGACGACCAGAAAATTTTTGTGTTATACTGAATTGGTAGAAAATACAGCATGTTCCCATTTTGATAACCCAGCTAGAGACAAAATACATCTTTGGGAGGTGTCCCTTCTCACCTCCCACCCTTCATTCTGTCAAGAAATATATTTTCCTGGATACAAAATGAAGTATCATTTTGGAAAAAAGGAAATAAGTGTTCACAGAAAATAACCACATAAAAGCTGCCTCTTTGGTACTGCATTACAGTGAGTTCTCTGCATCTCAGGTGGAGATGGAGATCGAGATCAGACGTGCTGTGTATAGGGAAGGTTAATTCTAACTTTTTGGTGGGCTTTTTGAGTTATATGAACGTTGGGATCCAACTTTTTGTACTCTTGCTTCCGTTGTAGCATGTAATTTGTCACTTCTGGATCCCGGCTACATTATAAAGTACTCAGAATATAGAAAACTCCATGGTAAACTTTTTCACACTGGACAGGTACGTGAAGGTGTAGCTGCCAGACCCAGCTTTCAAGGAAATTAAAACTTTATATTCAAAAGGAAATAACAGAATATATTTCACTGAATCACAGAATATGTTTCCTGTTCACTTCCTGTTTTGGAGAGCATACCTGTTGTTTTTAGAGGAGCTTTCTGTTTGGCAATGGTAGGGATTGCACGTGCATCCATCCATGCCCTTTGTAGGGATGATGCATCTGACAGCCTGCATGTGTATAATGTCAAGTGAAATGAAAAAACATTTGAGACTAATTACCTTGTTTTGGTGTGAAGACCTTGCAACAAACTTTTGTGCTGAAGGATTCTCATTAGATGGATTCTTTTCACTGTTTTCACTTGTTGGATGGTGTACGGGGACTTTCCTGGCTGACTCAGGAGCAGCTTTCTTTGAAAGCTGGCATTTCTTGGAGACTGATTTACAGTACTACTGGGCAAAAGAGGATCAAACAGATTCTTCTCTTCCCTGACAGGAAGTAGCAGCAGCGCTCTGCGCTCCTTGCATTTTCTGGACTAAGGTATAAGGGTGATCAGGAGGCTGCAGTGAGGGAAAGTGAGCATATAAATCTAAGGAACACAGTATTCTGCTCTAAGATTCATTTGAGACAAACTGTTAGCTTTTTCTTTCTCTGCGTAACTTGCTTTTGAGACATAGGAGGCATCCTGAATTCTGAGTCTCACCTAGACTCAGTCCTGGGATGAGCAAAGGCGATGATCACATACAACAGTAATGACTGTTCTTTTTTCTCTTGCTCTGTCAGTATGGAATATGATGTTGGTTTCCAGTCAAATTTTATTGATTTAACTGGTACCATAAATCCTTTCTTGTCTCCTTATGTGCTTTGATTAAAATTTGGAGAAACATATGCTTTGCTCGTGTCTCAAAAATTCCTTGAAGGAGCTTGATTTTTTTAAAAAGGTGAGTGTTGAGCTGTGCTTTAAAAGTAAGACATTGAGAGTATCAGTCTGCATACTCAGAGACACTGATCTTTTTAAATCCAGCTGCACCCTACGCAAGATGTAGACTCCTAAGTGTGTTTAGCTGAAGTTACCACTGTATAAACATATCCTTGTTTGTCTTTGAGGTCCAACACAGAAATAAAATGTTGCAAGAAAGCAAGGATGTTTTAGAAAATGATCTTCATTTAAGTGTAACAAAGATAAAACTGTTCATAATTTCAGAGTTGGATTGATTGAGCACAATCCCACATTGTCTGACAACTTTCAGGTTTGTTAGAGGGGGCATTCAAAACAGGCTGTGAACATGACTGTGTTTTCCTGAATGTTCTTCTTTTCCAGTTGGGTAAAAGTTTGAAAATGTTGTAAGGGATGTAGGAGCGGAGAGGAGAGCATTAACTGCCTCTTTCCAGTAAATAATGGTGAAGCAGTGGAGAATGTGGTTTCAGGCACTGAGCTCTGAGGATAAAGCTCCACTGAGATGTTTTTGAGTCCTTCTGATCAAAGATCATCTTTGGGTGCTTTGCAGATTGTTGATGTTTTGAGCAGTTTACATTTAGTCTTGCATTGAACGTTTCTTAAATGCTTATCGTGACTCAGAACTCCTTAGTAATGAGTGGTAAGAAACTTGGATCCTCAAACTGGCACGAATGGATTATGTGGTGGTTTAATTCTAAAATACCAAGGGTTTTGTAAAAACAAAGAATTAGCAAAACTAATTAGCGTGAGCAGTGCCTATCGGAGCTCTCGCAGAAGAAAATGTGGTGATGAATGTAAATTGAAGGCTCAGTGACGTGCACTTGTTGGAATTAGCTGTCAAGTAGTTGCAGAGAGGTAAAATGAATATTTGAACTGTGTGCATCTCGTGGCCAGCATTTGTTTGTAGGAATAGGTATGGGATGCACTTTGTTGAAGGTTGAAACAGACTTGCTGCTGACAGCTGGGAATTGGGAGTTAGCCTAACCAAGCAAGCATGCGTTGCATGCACAGCTGTCTGAACACAGCTCCTAAGTGTAGAAAGTAAAGGGAGATTTCCTTGCACTTGCATCATGTATTTTGAATTTGGCTTCATTAAAGGATGCTGTTGGTTTCCAGGGCTAGAACAGTAGAGAGTGTTCCAGAGGCAATAGATATTGAGAGTTTCTTCTTCCTCATGGATGATTTTATCAGGTCATCAGTCTCTCTGCTCTGTCTGTCCAAACCATAAAGTGAAAATTATATCCATTTAAGGAAGAATCTAAGACGTGTGAAAAAGCAAGAATGAGTTAAATATTCCCATTCAACTTCTTGTGTTGTTGAAATATTAACTCTTTAACTCTACCATGCTATGTTTTGCCTCTACTAAAGACTGTCCATTATTTTGGAATTTCTTCTTTCTAGAAACATTTCCATTTTCTGGGGAGGAAGATATGAGTGACCCAGAGGCTTTGAAATCTTTACTTTCCCTCCAGTGGAAGAATAAAGCACCTAATTTCCCAGCTGAAAGAAAATTCAATGCAGCTGCTGCCCTGAGTGAGCCATATTGTGCTGTCTGTACCCTCTTTTACCCATATAACCAGGTAATTCCTGAAACTGCTCTGCTGGATGGGTTGGTGGTGAGTGCTGAATGGTGGCTGTGAAAGAGTGCAGATCTTCAAAAGAAAGAGGCAAGTCTCTTACAAGTGTGTGCCTCAAAGAAGTGTTTGGATTTGGCTGAGGCAGTGGGTCAGGCCTTCCCCACTATCTCTTCTGGATGCTCTGGCTTTCTCAGCTTTCATTATTTAAATGGCACATACAGAGCTTTGCATTGCAAACCCTGTTTCATGCAGAGAAGCAGTGTCATATTGGGCCTATGAGTGCTCCTGTTTAGATGCGTGCCTGGATTTTTGAATATATGCAAACAAGCAGCAAAACGAAGATTTATTCAGTAAGCATATGGATCATTTTTTTGAAACTACCAATATGCTTTGAGATGTATTATGGCAGAATTTGTCAGGTGAATTAGTTATTTGCCCAGTTGTGCATTGATTTGTTCTTGTGTGCTAATGGAGCCAAAAGGAGTGTGTGTGTGCATTTTGGAGGCCTTTTCTGAGAAAAGCAGGACCCTCCTCAGCCTACAATTGAATATTGAGAATAGAGTATCTATTCAGAATTCCCAAATGTTTTTGTATAAAGGTTGTAAGGAAAGCAGATATAGCTAGAATGTTTTAATCTGTTGTTTTTAACTCTGGTTTGCTGCCAGAAAGCTTGAAGTGTTCTTCTAGGGAAAATCTTGCAGAAAGAAAAGGGAAGAAAAATGCCAAAAGGATGGAGGGTATCATGGGGAGTGGTGGGAGGTCTTGTTTTTACTAATTTCGTTTTCTCCGTAGTGTGTCCAGCTGCAGTTTATGACCTTAGATTTTTACTGAAGGAGAAGGAAGGCTTCTCATTATTCTAATGTTTCTTTGAGTTTTTAAATAAATTGCAAATCCCGGTAGAGGTCTGAAGAAGAGAGAGGAGCAAAATGTGGCGGGTGGAAGAGTGCATGAGAAGATACAGCTTCAGGTTCCTTATCAGTGCTGTGTGGTGTCAGGTGCTTTTTGTAATGGTATTGCTTTGACTTTAAGGTTAAAACTGTGACTAGAGAAGAGTGATGTGATCTTTCTCTTCAAGTCCTTACAGATGGATAAAGAAGCTGTCCCAGTCTCTGTAGGGGAGACCACCTCTTTTGTCCACCTTTCTAAGTGCGGACAGAAGACGAAGCCTCTGATCCCAGAGATGTGCTTTACCTCAAGTGGAGAAAACACAGAGCCCCTTCCTTCAAATTCGTATATTGGGGAAGATGGAACCAGTTCCTTGATATCCTGTGCCAAATGCTGCCTGCAGGTTCATGCTAGTAAGTGTTTCCTTTGCCACCAAAGTGTTTTGGGTACTCTCAAATTTCTTTTTATGCTGTCTGTATTTGTAATCCTTAATGTAGACATGCTTGCTGTTCCTATCACTTCTACTTCTTCATTTTCTTGTACTAGTATTAGTGTATATTTGAGTCCTTCTTGGCAATAAATATTCATAAAATGTAAACAAATAGCTGATTCTTTTATGCTTCACATAAAAAAGCCTTCATTTTGTTATATTTTATTTTTTTACAATAAAGCCAAAATCACACAGCTTATTGTACTGTTTTTGTTTGTTCAAGTAGCAGCCTAAGGTAAGAAAAGGTTGGTTTGGTTGTGTTGATTTGGCTGCATTGTACAGAGGAGTTTCTGAGATATATTTTTATTAGTGTCTTAGTTACTATTTGTAGGAATGACACTTGATTACAAAAAGGAACATATGTCTGTTTGTTTCTCTGCGTTCTGTCTAAAAGAAGAACTGATTAATCCTCGTTGAGTGTACCTTTGCTGTAGATTGTATGACATCCAGTTAACATTTGCACTTGTACTGGATGTGACAATTACTGTTCAGCTGTTTGATCTTGACAGATGGGAAATCCTATTTGCCTTGCATAGTTGGAATTACTTTTGTTGTTCCAACTTAATAGTCCACAGGTCACCACGCAGCTCAGTATGGCTGTCTCTTCTGGAGAACTAAAGCACAGCTGTTGTTTCCATACTGCTGCTGTGATTATGGTCACTCACTTGTGGTTAATAAGAGCAAATGATAAAGAGAGAGTGTGACTGTTTTCTTTTTTCCCCATACAAACTGTGGTCTCTAGTGATCAGACCAGAGATGCTGGATCTTGTGCATCCTATGTCTTCACTAGACTAGTCTATCAAAATGGTTTCTGTGGTCAAACCCTGATTTAGTTAGAGAGTCATGTGGTCAAAGTGATGTTAATCTGCAGTCTCGGACACTGTGTAGAGAAACTGAGCTTTCTGTTTTATCTGTGCCTTGCCCTTGGGAATAGGGCTTAACTTCTGTGCTCTAATCTGATGTGGTTTCAAGTGTCTACTTTGTTTCCATGTCACTGTTTGTACCACCAAACTGTGATATACCTTTGACTGCTGCAGAGAGTCCATCCCATTTGCTTTTATTACAGGATTGCAGTGTTCAGTTGCTGTTAGGTTCATCTGACAGCATGCTGTGAAACTTGGCAGTCTGCTTGCTATTGAGAAGTGCCCTTACCCAACCCAAGCGATAGGTTATGACAACAGCAAGGACACAGAGAAGAAAGCTTTTGCAGAGGTCTTTAGGCTTTTAAGGTGTTGGCAAATCCATGAAAAGGGCACATGTTCTTGTACCTTTGCCATCATTGTTAAGGGAGAATCTGGGATTCAGTAAGCCCTGACTGTTTCTCCCCTCGGATCCTATAGCCCAGCTCTCTGTGGACTTGAAGCAAGAAATAGTGCTATTCTACATCCTGTTGAGCTCCAGCAATATTTCAGTCAAGGGTGTCAGTTTCTCTTGCAGTTCAGTTTCCAGGTTAGTTTTTAAAGATTCATCATCCCTGTCTGTTTTCCAGGATTGAGTTGAATGTGCTTTCTTGGTTTGCCATGTGATAAAGAGAGACTTAATGTAGGGGAGACAGCTGTGGATCTATATTATTGACTTTTTTGACAAACAGTTTGTCTGGTTAAGTGGATAATTTTTATAAATCCAGTTATGGTGGCAGTCTCAGTGCTTTCTGAATAACTTCTTTTAGGTTTTATTCAGTAATTTGAGACTGTCCAGCTGATCTTTTATGTTCATTTCTGTTAGGAGAGCATGAAGATCATGCGTTGAGCTTTGTGTTAGGTAGGATGCTGACCAGCAATTTATAAATATGTTTGGTTTTCTGCTACAGAATAGCATTTCTTTGCAAGATGGTAGAATCATAGATACACTTAAAAAAAAAAAAAAAAAAAAAAAAAAAGTTTGTGTCTTCTGTCGTTATTCAGTAGCAAGCCTCAGCACCTGTTACAGAGTTTTAAGGGCTTTAGAGTCTTTCTTCACTGTGTTTGTTACAATCATTATGGGACTTTCCTGTTTTGGTGCTGCTGAGAAGTACACTGGTGCTTACATAGCACAGTAATAGATGCCCTGTAAAATCAGTTGCTTCTAGTATTTTGTATAACCAGAAATTAGAGGTAGTTTAAATGCTGTTAAATGTGAAATGCACTTGTTTAATTTTGTTGTGGTATTGCTGCTTCTTCTTGCTTAGAAAACCTTTAGCAGAAATGATGTTCTGAATTCAGTGATCTTAACTATTTTGATGTGCAAGTGAAGCCCAGCAGTAGTAATTTTATTGTAATTCCAGTCCTTGCTTAAAGGGTCAAAGTACTCAGGGTTTTCCCCGTGTATTTTTTTTAGCTTAGTGTTTTGTTCTCAGACCTATTGGTCCAAATTCTGTCCGCTCCCTGAGAGTGACTTTCAAATGCTGCTCCCAGTTTCAAATATGTTTGTGAACTGAACAGGCAACAAATTAGTACTACAGAAATAGTAGCAGAACTCTGATGTGTGCAACTCCATTTCTTTCAGGCTGTTATGGAATACGTCCAGATTTGGTGAATGAGAGCTGGTCTTGCTCACGATGCTCAGCCAATGCATGGGCAGCGGTAAGCATCTACTCTTCTGGAGACAGAGTTGATGAGATACTTCCACAGCGATGGGTGGTGGGAGGGTACTTTTTGCCTTTGCATCCCAGGCATAGTTGTTTTTTTCTGAAAGATCTGGCAGACCTTTCCAGTCCTGCTCTGAAGTAGTTTTGTTACTACAGGAATGCTGCCTGTGTAATCTCAGGGGAGGAGCTCTTCAGATGACCACTGATGGGCGGTAAGTAATGTTTTTAAATGGTTTTGTTCTTCCCTTTTTCATCTCATATTTGATACTGTGAGTTTGGGCTTGATGCTCAGTGTATCAGCAAGTTTTGGCATTTGTGGAAGTAACTGCTACTCACTAAATTGGCAGGGTGAACTTTGGTAACTGCTGTCTTACAGGTGGGACCAGATTTTTCAGTAGCAGGGTTATGTGGCCCTGAACACTCTTAAATTTGGTTCCTTCTCAGTGAAAGGTTTGTTTTTTTTTTTTTTTCAGAAAGCAGTTAGTATCATTCACCATCAAACGCCTAAGAAGATTGAGCCCTATTGTTCCAGAGACCTTTACCTTGGCAACAGTGATTAACAGATTAGTTAGTAATATTGCCAAGGCTGCAACCACCATCATAAACATTCCTTGATACTGTAGGTGAAGGAGTCAGAGAAATGTTAACTGCCCCCTGGAGTGTTTACTTCAAATAGTGGTGTACTCTGTTTCCTCTTTACCTCTTTTTCCAGGTGGGTCCATATAATTTGTGCTATTGCTGTCCCTGAGGCCCGTTTTCTCAATGTAATAGAGCGTCATCCTGTGGATATCACTGCTATTCCAGAACAAAGATGGAAACTGGTAGGTGTCTTCTGGTGTTGGTGTTCTCACTCTTTTCCCCAGAAATCATAGAATCATAGAATGGTTTGGGTTGGAAGAGACCTTTAAGATCATCTAGTTCCAATGTCACTGCTATGGGCAGGGACACCTCCCTCTAGACCAGGTTGCTCTAAGTGCCACCCAGCATGGTTTTGAATCCTTCCAGGGAAGGGGCATCCGCAACCTCACTGAGAAGCCTGTTCCAGTGTCTCCCCACCCTCACACTAAAGAATTTCTTCCTGATATCTACTCTAAATCTACCCTCTTCCTGTTTAAAGCTATTTCCCTTATCGCTGCATGCCCTTATAAAAATGCACTAGGGAGCTGTATTATTTGGATGTGTTCTTGAGATGCTAAGTGTCTGATATATAAGCAACCAGTGTGCCTTTAGTCTCTAGGAATGTTCTCTTTACCCTAGATGGAGCCTGGGATATTTACTCACCTCACAGTGGGGGTTAAACAAAGTACTGCATGGCCGGGAGTGGGCTGGGAGATGGTAACTGGAAAGAAGCTGATGTATGCTGACTAGTTCACCTTTAATTTGTTTTAACTTTACTTAAAGTATATCTCTTTGTTCATCAAGAAATGTGTTGTAGAAATCAACAAACGTTTGTGTGTGACCATGACTGTGAGACACCGCAAAGATCTTAGTAGAAGTCCAGCTACAGTTTCTTATCTAGCTGCACATAGTTTCATATGAGGGATTAGTAATGGATGATTCATTAGCTCAGTGCAATTAATCTTTATGTTAGTTAATGCTCCATCTCTATACTGTGTTATTGCAAAATAAATCATGCTTTTGCTGCTTATTTTGTACAGAATTCAGTTGGATAATAGCTGAGTGTGGTATGGGGGAAGGTGATGTTAGCAGTGATACATTGGTTAGCACTGATGTATTTGTTCACTGTGCAGCTATTTAGTGCAGGCAGCCCAGACAGGCCTGGGTGAGAGATTAGGAGGAATCTATCTGCTTCTAGAGTTATTTCTGTTGTGCAAATGGTTTCTGTACACAAATGTGAATGTAAAAAGCATTCATTATTAAAGTAGAGCGATGGAGCAGCATGGTGTGAGAGTGATAAATCTTACAGCACTGGGTCTTTATGGATCATCTGACATTTCCAGCATGCATCCTCTTCATTACCACACTTGTAATGATGAACCAAAAATCCTTTTGCACAAGACTTACTTGTACTGCTTAATGGAGCCTCACAAGAAAATATTGTCTTAATTCTTTAATTCTCCTGTGGCTATCCTACAATCCTACAGAGCCTGGCTCCTATTAGCACAAGTAAAACTTTGCTGCTTCATTCTGCACTGATGGCTGTTCCACCCAAAGCCTCACTGACATGTCTTTATGTCTGAATTAAAGCTTTGTAGTTCTGTTAATTTATTTGGTGTTGTATTCCTTTTACGCTGTAGGTGTTATGATGTAAGAAGGAGACTTTTAACCTAATTACTGATGACGAAAATAATTCTGCTCTGTTGGTCATACTTATGAACGGTATTATGGAATGGATGCGTGCTCTGTCAGTGTCTGTTGAAAATAGGCTATTGGTGTTGCCACCACATTTAATGTGACATTCATAGTTGGATTGGAGCGGACCTCAAAGATCATCAAGTTCCTTTGAGCGTCATTTGCTTTGGAAAAGAAAGCAAATATTCTTGAGCTAAAACTTGAAATCAGTTTAGTGTTATGAAGTAGGTAAAGATTAATAATAATTGAGATGTAAGGGTGGTGGGACTTCTGCCAGCAGTTTATCTAGGAAGCCATACTGAAGCTTGCTGAAAGGCAGTGGTGTTAGATCTGGTCTTGTTGTTAAAGTTGATGTAGTCCTAGATAAAATTAGAGTTGACTTTTCTTGCTGAAAAAGATGGAAGAATATAGAAGAAGTAACATGAAGATTAGTTGAAATGAGTAGATAAGACTTCTATCTGTGATTATTACTATTATTTATTGTTGTTGTTTTCAATACATTAAGATACTGTGAGAGGGCTGATGTGTCAAGGAGTTGCAATGACCTGTTTGAGGAGTATCTCCTGTTGTACAGACTTACACCAGGCCTCCCTTTTGCAGCACAGACTTACCAGTTCATTGATGGGTATTGCATCATTTGAAGAATGCAGTTTGCTTGCTTCCTGATTAATGGTGTATTACAAGCCTGTGTGCATAAATTATTTCTGATGTGGAAATATAGAATAATTAGCTGTCATTCCTCAGTGGAGTAAATGAATTGCAGTGTTCATCAAGCGGGAAACAGCCCATTCCTCACCTCCAGCTATGACCCAGCTCTCTGATGTGCATTCATTCTGAAGATTTTTGTTCTGGGCTTTAGACCTTCTCACATCTTCCCTCCCTCAGAAAACATCTTTAATCTTGCACGTGCTGCTTCCCTGCAGTACTTAGCACTTGTGCTTTTAAGCATCCCATCTCCCACGCTTCCAGATGTTCAACGCTCTTACTCCCTCCACGTCTCCTGCATTTCAGTCTCACTGTAGCTCTCATTTTCCTTTATCCTTTGATCGTATTTGCTCTTGATATTCCATTTGTGAATCTCTCTTCTGTCATGAGAAATTTGTTTGCCGCTCGGGTGTCATTAAAAGCGTGCTAATCCTCTTGTCTTGGAAGAGTCCTGTTTGCATCAATAAGGGGAGGTTCCTGATGCTTGAGGGTTAATACTCCCTGGAGAAGCAGTATTGAGCGCACTGTATATCAGCAGTTGTCCCTGCTGGTGAGAGAATTAGGTATTGACGGTTTAATAATGAGATCTCATTGCTATTGACTTGCTTTCAGTGCTGTGTTCCTGCTGTGCACTTTGCTGTAGTGCTTATCTGGCTTTTGAACATGGTTTACAGAATGATAAAGGCATAGCTTATTAAATAAAACAGAAAAAAAAACAACCCACATTCTGGCAGCAGTAAGGCCCTGACTTTGAATTTCCTGGCTTTTGTTAATGCTAGTAAAGAAGTCCAAATTAATCTTTGTTGTAAACATACTGACTTAATTTAACTCACAGGAAGTGAATTTGACTTCAGATCCTTGTGGGATGGGTCATGGCTGGGGAGCGGCTGGCTGACAAGAAATAAGGAAGAAGGCATCTCCCTTTCTTTTGTGTGTTTTGCTTTGAAGGAAGAAAGAAATATTCTTTGGAGAAGGAATGGCTTTTATTTGCCTTGGCAAAGCTTTGTAGCTCTTACCTGGGTCCCATGTACTATGAGAACGCAAATATAACTCTGAAATTTGGCAGTTCTTTGTTTGCATTTATTATGTAATTTATAGTGCTTTATGGCTCGTCATATTTTGAGGATACGCTCTTCAGTTATCTCAGATCTGGAAGCAGAGTGAATTTGTACGTCTGGGAGCTGTATAGACTGACTGTGTGAGCTCAGGCAGCTTATATTGCATTGCTAATCCTATGGGATGCAGTCATTCATGCGGATCTTACAGCTCAGGTCATGAGTTCCGTGATGATGTGTGCTTTGAACAGTGCATTAACAGGACTGAAGTAAATGAGAGACCATGAAGATGTAACGAGGAAAAGAAAGACCATCAGACACGTCAGTTTAACATCAGACACCGCAGAGAGAGAGAGACTGTGATGCATTGCATCATGTGTGATTATGGGACACTTATATTCCAGTGGATGGATGGTTTAGGATGGAGACAGTCAATCAGACAGTGGGGCAGTGGCTGAGACGAGCCCATGTAGTGTGTTTGGAGATGGTCACCTAGAAATAGGCACTAAAAATTATCACATTACTCTGCTCCTTCTTGTATATGGGAATAGTTTCTCTAATAACTAAATTACTGGGATGTATAGTCAGATTCATGGGTATATGATGTCTCTCAGGATTTTATTTATTTGAAGTACCACAATTCATTCTAACAAGTAAAATGCATGTTTATCTCAGGCGTGGTAATTTCCCTGATTTGCCTCATCTGAGAAGCCTCAGCCAAGGTGAAGAAGCTGTCATCAGTCAGTGACAGCCTCTCTGCTTAAGATCTTAAAAGCTTAAGAGTGGCATTTCCAAATAGTTGCATGGAAATATTACCATCCAAGGGTCTGGGACAACCAAAATCTCATCCGTATTTCTGAGGGAAACAATTTGGTGTTCCTAGGGGGATGAATGAGGAGGTTCATCTTGTTTCCTATTGACATCTAATACTGGCTTTTGGCCCCCAAAAAGCTTTTAAAGCAGTCATGTCTTAAATTGCTTAGCCATTCCCCTTAGGTTCTGTCTTGTTAGATGAGCTTAATGAATAGATCTGCTTTGCAGAAGATATTTTAAAAATACCGAAAGATCTCATACTACTTTCCCTTGCAATTCTGATGTTTGGTACTAGATTTTTATTTTTTCTGTTGTTTGCCATATCTAATTTAACACAACTCCAATAAAACATTTTCAGTTGATATGTTTTTATCAAAACATAGGAACAAAACAAAGCAAAAAAAAAAACAAAAAAAAAAAACCCCGGATAATGTTTTGTTCCATTACAAGAAATGATATTCTGTTAGATCCAGTAGAAGTAACATTCCACTGAATAGAATAGAACAAAGTATTACATAGTTATCCTGTGTTCCATTCTTTCTGAAAACGAAAGCATCACTTTATTGCAGTGTAGCTCTGAAGATTTAGTGCTGCTTGAAATAACTGCTGTTGTGTATATTAAGGGAGATGAGTATTACATTGCAGCCATTCTTAGGTAATACTGATGTGTGTTTGTCTGCCGTGTCCTCCTTTTCAGTCTCAAATTGGGTTTAAGACTCCTCACTGTTAGTATGGTGCTGGAGGACTGAATTAGTGGTAGATGTCATCACATTTGTGGGAACGACGTCAGTTCGTGCTGTAGTTCCTTGGCTTGTAAGTGATTCTAGGCAGGTAGTTGGATGGGCAGCCTCTGGTAGTATCAGACTTGATCCCCCAGCATGAAACATCCCAAGTTTTGGTTGTGGCTTCTTTGTGCATACACTAATGGTGTATACATTTGTGCTATATAACAAATTCTGACCCTGTTGGTCATCAGGGTGGCAGTATGTCGCCTTAAAGCTATTGTTACTGCATGATGCTGATTTGTTGTTCTTCTCAGAAATGCGTGTACTGTCGAAAGCGGATGAAGAAGGTGTCTGGTGCCTGCATCCAGTGCTCCTACGAGCACTGCTCCACTTCCTTCCACGTGACCTGTGCGCATGCTGCTGGCGTGCCCATGGAGCCCGATGACTGGCCCTACGTCGTGTCCATCACTTGCTTCAAACACAAAGCAGCCAACCAGAATGTGAGTTTGCTGGTTGCTTGTTTTTGTTTTCCTGCACCTGTATTTTTAGCACAGCTTTTCCAATTGCATATTTCTTCCTTTCCTCTGCCATACAGATTCAGTTTCGAAGGGAAGTGACTCTTGGACAGACCGTGATCACAAAAAACCGGAATGGACTCTACTACAGGTGTAAAGTGATCGGCATGACGACACAGACTTTCTATGAAGTAAACTTTGATGATGGGTCATACAGTGACAACGTTTACCCAGAAAGCATTATTGTAAGCAGCTAACTATGAAGGCTATTAAGTTATAAATGAATGTACCCTCATGCTGTTCTTCATCTTTGTCCTTCCTCTTCATTTCATTATTCTGTTCCTTTACAAAGATGTGGTTTTTCTGTATGTGTAGGACTTAACAGAAAGCAGTGCTTGTTTTGAGTTGCATACTGTTTGTTTTGTGGTTGAATAATCTCTGGTTTTTCAACTGACAACTGTGATTCATGGGGGAAGCAGATTGTCTGTAAGCGCTTCTGGTTGAAAATAGGAAATATGCTTAATAGAAGGAATGTATAAAAAAGGCTGACTTGTCATCTCATGCTTTTTCTTCCTGATTGAGCCATTGATTCACCACATGAAACATAGCAAGTCAACCCACATGTTTTTGTTGACATTGGCAATTTCATGGTTTGGGATCTGTAATGAGAAATTTTCTAGAACTGAGTACTGTCACCAGAAGGTGCAAGTGTTTTATTTCTCTTTTTTCACAGTTTATTGGTTTGTTTGAGATTAGTTAATCACAAATCTAGTAGCTTTCTCCTGCTTAATTGTAGTATTATGTGGCAACTTCCCTGAGTAGTGACCTCTTCTACTAGTTGTTGAGCTTTGTCTGTTCTGACTGTCTGACCTCTTTGTCTCTATGTCTTCAGAGCAGAGACTGCATTCAACTGGGGCCCCCTCCAGAGGGTGAGATGGTTCAACTGCAGTGGACGGATGGAATCATCTATAAGGCCAAGTTTATTGCAGCCCAGATCAGTCATATTTATCAGGTATGCACAGAGGAGTACTTACATGCTTCATGTCAGTATGTCTGACGGTTGCCCTAATTGCTCCCTAGGTACTTGGATGCTTACTCTGAAGAGAGGTGTTTACTCACGAAGAGGGAATTTGCTTTCTGGAGTTAATACTATTCGTAGTCTAAAGAGACATGTAGTGTTACAGTAAGATCATGATAAAGGTTTTCTGTGACAGAATATGGATGTATGAATAGAAGTATGTCTAGACTGTGCTTTTAAAACATAAGCTTTTCTTACAGTGAGAAAAACACGCAGCTTTTTGTTTAGAGTTGTGCAGGTCTTTCACTCGGATCTAAGAATAAAAAGAGAGTAAGTAAAACAAAAGGATTTGTTAAAGTCAATACAAGATTGTTTGGCATGAAGTAGCTTTCCTCTTGAAAGTAAATGTCTTTGCTCTTTACATGGACAAAGAGGCAACAGGTTGGTCTCCAGAAGGTGCTCCTTTCCTGTGACCCGTAGTAATTGTTTCCTGTCTGAGCTTTCACCATTATCAAGAAGCTTCTACACAGGAACGTGCCCACACCAGAGAGCCTGTGAAGGAAAAGCCATTCACCTCCATTGTGGGGAAAAGAGTTTAACAGCTGGTGGCTCAGCTTTGTTAGTGATAAAACAACTCAGGTCAAAGTGATCTGCTCTCAGTATTCTCTGATGGCTGTCCAATGAGTTGTGCTAATGTAGCTCATGACCTAGAGTTTCCCATGAGTCAGTATTTAAATAATTAAAACTTTGCTTGAGAATTCAAGAAAGAGTAAGAGAAATGATTTATCAGGAGACTATTTGTAGTCATGGGAAGGGACTTTGCAGAGGAGTTGCAGCGTGTAAGAATAATAACCTCATATACTCTCACCACCTCCATTTTTAAGATGAGAAGAATAGCAGGCAGTTTTTGGTCTTTGAGTCTGTTGCACAGACAGAATCTTTGTTTCTAGAAGGTTGTGATAGTGAATAAAAGAAGATTTAACCTGGTACACAGTGTTAGTATTTCAGCAGAAGGTTTTATAAGATGCAGTATGTTCATATGACTGAATCTATTTTAAATGGTACCAAGAAGTTGAAAATAACAGTGATTTGTAAAGGAAGGTGTACTTCCTGCACATTCTTTTGGAAAATACATTCTGGAATTTGCAAAGAATTGTTATTTTAAAGAGGTTGGTGCCCCTGGAGAATTGTAAAAGGCAAAGGAAGTCCCAAATCTTGCATTTGTTTGAAATTGAGTTGGGATTTCTATCCTTTCTGCACAGAGTGTTTCATATCTGTGTGCCAGGAGCACAATAGCCCACCTTGTTAGTTAACAGTCTTTTTTGTGTGCGTAATGGAAGGCAGCTGCTTCAGAGAAGATGTGATCCAGGTGACCCAGGTTATGAATAAGTACAATACGTTGTTCTATGAAGATCTATTTTTATGCATGCTTTCCAGTTTAATCACACTATAGGAAATTGTCATTGATTTCTTGAAAGTAAAATAATTTGAAATAGGCTATTCCACTTTGAGTGCCAGATGACAGAAAAATATGCATGAGGAGCCTGTGTTTTTCAAATCACACAGTTACCTATAAGTAAAGCTCCTCTCTATGGGGAAAACAGCCTGAATAGCTTTCTACATTGGTTTCCTGTGTGCGTATTTTTTTCAACAGTTGCTGTGAATCTCTATTGTCTGTCTTGGAATAGGACTGTATTTAATAACACAGTGACAGTTCTGTCGTGAAATTAGTGTGTTCAGATTAAGACAGCATGGATTAGCTTCGGATTTTAAACTTGTCCTGTCCTATTTTGCAGTGGCTTTGCAATTCGCATCTCTAAGTTTGCATTTTGTGTGCTAAAATTAGATCTGTATATATATATATATATATATATATATATATATATATATGTCTGTTAGTTCAAACAACTTTTAACATACTCTAATGTGTATTCTTAAGAGCATCTTGAGCCATATCAGTAGTTTGGAACTGTAATAAACAAAATGCAGCCATTGTGTGATAGCTGAAGATGTCATTGCCCTGTGCTGCCAGTCCTCCCTTGCTGCTGAAGTTGAGCACGTGCAGTGGAAATGGCAAACAGGAGTCTGCTTGTAGCTAGTTCACTTGTTCCCTAGTGATCTGTAAAACCTGAGAGTAAATGCGAGCGGTAGCATCTTAAACCAGCTCGGCAGAGCTCATCTTTCAAAGATTGTTCTCCTACCTGCTTAGTTATTACTGTTGGGGTGCATTGCTCAGCTAAGGCACCTCAGAAGGCATCACAGATCTAGGGTAGCTAATCAGTTGTAAGATCTGGACAGCGCAGGAGGAGCTCGGAGTGCAGGTGCTCACTTCTTGCTGAACATGCCCAGTCTGAACCTGATGTCCCACATTAACTGCTGTGTGTCTTTCTGCATTATGTAGAGAAGTATAAGCCCTAAGCAAAGAAAGTGAGCATCTCTTAAAAACTTCTAATAATTTTAACAATTTTTTATGCATGTTTCCATGAATAAACGTTGCTGTAACAACTGATTCAAAATTCATGACACAATCAGTGCTTAGTGCATAAGATTTAACATGAGGACTTACCACCACTTCTTGTACCTGACTGATTATTTCTGCTTAATGGAAATGTATTTGAGTAGCTGCCATTGTTTCCTTATGACGTGTAAAAATGCTTTGTTTAAGATGAAAGAAATTCTTATTACCGTATTGGTCTGAATACAGGGCTGCTTTTTATTATAAGTGAAAAGCTGTTCTTTTTTCAGGATTTGAATTTTTAAAAAAATCAGTGGAAATTTCTAGCCCTCGGACTGGGAGGGGATAGCAGGCATGCTGTAGCACAACCATTCTAATCTGCAGGAGCACTGAATGAAACTGCTTGGGCCAGATAAAACGGATGCCTGAGCAGCACTAAAACCTGGATCCTGGGTTCAGACTTATTAAAGCTCATTCTACAGCAAAGCTAGAGAGATGCAGAGCCAAGAACAGTGAATCATCCATGGAGCTGGCTTGCTGATACTTCCCACAAAGGGACCATGCTTGGCATTATCTGGGAGTGAACTGATCATGTATTGTGAATCTAGAAGCCAAACGTTCTTATTTCATTTTCTTTCTACTGTGCAGGTTGAGTTTGAAGATGGCTCCCAACTAATGGTAAAGCGTGGTGATATTTATACCTTGGAGGAGGAGCTTCCAAAGAGAGTGAAGTCTCGCTTGGTGGGTATTGAAGTAAAAGAAACAATGAAGTGGCTGTGGCTTGAAGTATTTGCTCACTTTTTCTTAACATATTGTTTAGACATTAGGTGAACGCATTTTCTGTGGCTGTAAAATTCCCAGTCACTCAAAAAATGTGTAGAGTCACTGAGATCTTTGGTGTGTAAATGCTTGAGAGCATGTGTATGTTTTTATTTCCTTATATGTTCAGACTTGATTCTTGTATTCTCTGGTTAAAAGATTATTTCCTACTATTTTACGTCATGAATTTAGTTATATGGACTGCCGCTTTATCTCAGTGCTGCCTTTCAGCTTGAATTAGATGGATTGGCCTACAGCTAAGTACTTTCTGGGGAATTGACTTAATGACATTGGAGCAAAGCCATTTCTTACCAAACAGGAGAGTTAAAACATGATCATTACAGAGCTCTTGTCTAAAAGATCACCCTGCCTTTAAATGCATGCAACTGAAATATTCGGCCTAGAAAATTTAGGGTTTATTGCTGGATGTTTTCAGATCTCATCCTTCGACCATTATTCAAACAAACACTGAGACCAGATTCGATGCCAATGAAGATATAGCTTTCCTCTTCATTCTAAATGTCTGTCATACTAGCTACTGCATGGCAGGGACAGATCTACAGAGTTAATCTGTGATATGTTTGTGGCCTTCAGTCTCTTAACAAACAAAATGATGGTCCAACCATTGCTTAAGAACACACGAACCACTATACCAAGTTGAACCAGTGATTCTCTGAACCACTAGCAGAAGCACAAACTCACTGTCCAAAAATATCTAGTAACAGTTGTTTATGTGGAAAAAACTCACATTTTATCATGTTTTCCTCAAGTTTGGAGGAAAACTTTGCTTACTCTCAGAAGGGTTTTATCCAAGTAACATTTGTAGAACGCTGTCTGAAGCATCTGTAGGGCTTCTCCATCTTCTTAGAGGCACTTCATCTCCACAAGAGGCCTCATGGCATAAATTTTACAGTTAAGTAATAATTTACCTTGTTACCCTCAGAAGATTTTTGGTGACAAAGACGCATCCTAGAATTGTTTTTCAGGATACAGGATTTGGGAAACAGCATATTCTCTGCAGTGGAGACTATTGGGCTTTATATCAGTCCCAGGGAGAGGAATGTAGGCTCTAAAGTGAACAAAATGTTTCAAGCCTGGCTGAAAGCTCAGATTCTTCTCCTACGCGTTCTGCTCCCAAAGACTTTAGATGAAACTCCTCAGAAGCAATGCTCGTGGTGCTTTTATAGAGAACAGCAGAACAGAGGAACAAAGCAATAGGAGAAACACATCTCTTTTGAGAGCATAAGAGGAGGATGAACAGAAGCAATCATACAGTCATCTTAGCCCCAAGGGCTTTCTTTGGGTCTTTCCTTTCTTTAACAGACATCAGGGAAGCCCGTTTCCTGTGTGCATTCTAGGAGTGAACAATGTGAAGAGACAGAGGAGAATAAGAGCGAACAGCAAACTGTCAAGGCAGGAATCGAAGTAAAAGATACTCTGATAAAGAAGGAAGGCAACTCAAGTGCTTCTCCTTCCAGTTTGGCTTCAGAAGCCCAGCAGTTTTTCTTTCAGCTTTGTGTGTTTTGGAATTCGGTTTTTCTTCAGAAATTCATTGTATCACTCTTTGCTGCCATGTTATGCCTGCTGCCTGGTTAAGCGGGCGCATTCAACAGTTTGTGCATGTCTACCTGTGTTTTCCTCCTGTGCTTCTAATACTGTACTCTCATGTCTCCTGCAGTCCCTCAGCACTGGGGCCCCTCAGGAAGATGTATTTTTGGGAGATGAAATGAGAGCAGCCAAGCGTCCCCGGCTGGGGAATGCAAGGAATCCTGAAGAGTACGGACAAAACCCAGATTACTTGGCCTTTATGGAGAGCCTGTTGCAGACACAGTACCAACCTGGCACTCAGAGCAACATGTTTTAACCAGGATTAATTAAATATGAAGTTAACCCTTTTCAAGCCTGTAGAAAAATAACCAGGAAACTCCGGAATATAAGACCAGCGTTGTGCAATACCCTGCTGTGAACTCCTTTCATCATCTTCTGGTTTGGACTGCAAGAAAATCCTGTCTGGCTGCACGCTACCTCTACTTTGCCAGACCAACAGAACTGGGAGCCTGAGAAACCTTCAGACAGCATTTCACCTGGAGACTTTCCAGCATTTGTACTGATGGAGCTTTGTGATTAGCTCCTTTTTATAAGGCTTGGAAAGAGTTAAGATTTGACTAAGTGACTTTTTAAAATACGTCAAACTCTTTTGTCTTTAAAGGTGCTATTACATTGACTACTGAAGCAGCCTTTGGAATTGTGTTTTCTGTACATAGAAGTCAACTTTGTGAAGTTTTCTATAAATAAGCACTATTAAAAAAAAAAAAAAAAAGCAAACGAAAATAGGAAAACAAAAGTTTCCACAAAACATTTTTTCTAGATTATGGCTTTAAAACAGAAATAAAATCCTCCCCTCTCTCATCCCTCAATGAAATGTGACTAATATTACACTGGGGAGAGAGAAAGCAAGAACAGATGTCCTGGAAAGTTCTGGGTTCCTTTTTGTAAAGAAATACTATCTCATTTGTAATCTGGGGAAGATGGGGAAAGAAATGTTTCATAGCTGGGATGTTTCTTACTGTTAATTCTCTTGAAGAAGTGATAGATGTGAGCATTTCTGCCACGTCAACAGGAAGGGACGTAGTGAAGCAATGACCAGGTTCTGGTCATTCTTGTCATCTTCCTTTCCCATCCTTGCCATCTAAGTTGCTTTCTAGTTTAAAACAAAACAAAACAAAAAAAACAAAACAAAACAAAAAGACAAAAAAAAAAAAATACAAAACATAAAACAAAACCAACAAAGAGCATGGCTTTCAGTTATAATATGCCACTCGGTTTTGGCAAGTGTTCTGTTGCTGCTTCTTGTGTTAGTTCCTCTAAGAGCCATCCCCTTCCCCGCTGCAGACTAGAGCACAAAGGGATTGTTCTAGCTCTCTGGTAGGCATGTCTCCCATAGGAACCTTTTTTCTTTTCTTTGACTCCATTTTTATTTTTCTGAGTTGTGCTCCTTACAGTTGTGAGAATCATTCCATGACAGAAGCCCGGGAGGTGTTTGTATGTTTTTCTTTTATCCTATTAAAGAAGAAATTCCCCAAATGTCTTTGATTGTTGTGACATCCTTTACTTAAGTGAAGACTGAGCCTTTAAGATACTCCTGGGAAGAGGAATGCAAGCCCTTCATTTAATTGGACTCAGTTCACCGAGAATTGAATGCGCATTAAAGGCAAAAACAAATCCTCAGATATTGAGTAGGCAGCTCCCACTTGGACACTTGGAAATCACCTCCAATCGAAGAGCTGTTATGGAACAGTGTTTTGTAAGAGCCTGAACCAAAACCCTGCTGGAGTCACTGGAAAGTCCTCCACTTTCTTTGGAGGAGCTCTATCAGAAGGAAGGATGAATGCAGCCCTGGTGCAAAGCGGGGAAGGGGATGTGGCTTCCAGAATATCTGGGTGAGGGGGGCAGGGGTGCATCGCTGCTCACCTGGATGTCCTGGCCTGGCAGAAGCTGTCCTGAATGCTGCATGGCAGCCTTTTCCACTTAATTTCCTGAAATCACTTGGACAGAAAGAGACTATTCCAATATTCTTTTTCTTTTTTTGTTCTTTTAAGCCCCTTTGCAAGGTGGTCGTTGTTCTGTGGAATGGTTTTTAAGCAGTGCTATAGTTGGATCTTTGAGGGAATAAGTGGGAAGGATTTGTGGACTAGCAGATAGTAGCTGAGCATCTTACAAGACTTGATAGGTATTAAACTGCTCTACTGAAGAGTGGAGACAGTAATTTTTTTTTGGTTTTCTTTTTGGCTTTTTGTTCTCTCTTGAGAGAATTGCAGTTCCCTTTATTTCTTACTGCCTCTGCTGTGGGTTACTTTCTTTGCGTGCACACGTGCGTATTTGTAAGAAGTTTGAAATAGGGTTTTTTATTTTTGAGGTTTCGGTGTTTTCAATGGAAGTCTGGGAATCAAACAGAGACTAATAGAAGTTTTCAACATTGGCAGGATTCTTAAAAGCCTCAGTTGTTACTCCTACGTAGCTGTCTCCTGTCAGTTAGAGCATTGTTTAATAGAAAGCTTGCTTGTATAAAAGAAAAGGAATGTTGCCAGGCCTTGGAGAAATATTTAAAGCAGCTGAGAGAATTTGAACAGCAGAGGAGTTTTTTTAGGAGGGGGAGGGAAAGGGTGGGATGAGATGAGATGAGTGGTTGTGAGTGACAGGGAATTTCCTCTGCATGTAAAGTCCTGACTGAAATAGCATCATTAAACTGTGTTCATATGTAGTACTCTTTTAAATACTATTTATACTGTACAAAACAAATTGTGTTTCCTCACCCCATTCTCAGATGATGAGTTATGTTTAAACGTGAACCTGGATCTGTGGAATGCCCTTCCTCGTTGCAGGGGTTCTTCCTTTTTGTTCATTTTTAAATCTCTTTTTGGTTTAGGAATGACTTGTGCAGATTATCTATAATGACTGTGTTGATGGCCTGTGTGCATCAAACTATTGACAAGGAAATAGAAAACGCACAGTCCTACCCTCTCCTTCCTTCAGTGAAATATATTTGTGTCTACTGATGTGCTATAAAAATGCTGACTTTTTTCTAGATTAAGGATGTGATGTATTTTTCTTTTCTTTTTTTTTTTTTTTTAACCCTCTGCCTCTAGGTTCATAATGAATTAAAGGCTGTTGAGCACTTCAGAATTACAATTGTTGGAGGGTTGAAGTCTCTTCATTTCTAAGTTTAAAGTAGCTTGTACTGCAGGGTAAGAAAGCTCTGCATCTGATTGGGTACCTGAGCCCAGACATGCTAAGACTGTTAAGCAGGAACTTGGTTGTTTTTTTTTTTTTTTTTTCTTCTTTTTTTCCACTTCTGCTCTGTTAATCAGGCAGAAAAACAGGTTTGCACCTCTTCCCAAAATTAGGAACCAAGCTTGCAATGTATTTTTCATTCAAGGTCCAGGATTTGCTCTAGATTGATGTGTCATAAGGACAGTGGTTGCGAAATAGCCAAAAGTTATCCTAATATCCTTTATCTTATATGTCACCAGTTTGCTACTTCGCTTTGGGAGTGTTTCTCATAGCATTCCAGTAGCCTTCCCTTTAGCCCTTAGAAGTCATGCTGACATTGAACCACTTAAAATATGATCCTTCCTTTGAAGAAATTATTTTCCTTTCTGAACCCTAATACTTTTCTCCAAATTCCTCTCAAACTGTTGCAGATGCTGCAGATTACATGAAAGAAAAAGAATCTCCAGTGTTTAATCCTTCATGAGTTAATAGTTTTTTTCTTGAGAAAAATCAGAGCAGTCACGAGTGGGCAGAGGCTGCTGATACAAGTCCATTATAATTTACGTCTGCGCAAAGTTTACCTGTTGAGTTTAAGGTCTTCTATAGTGATGTAATAAGAACAAATACAATTTTAAACATGTCTTCAGTACTTCCAAGTGACTACCTGGATCAGACATCAGAAGACAATGTTCAGAACTTATATCACAGCCTCACAGAGTAGAATAGACACTTCTGTGCAAACATCCCTGAAGTCAATATAGGTTTCTGTTACTAGCTCATACTACTGTACTAAACTATAGATGATGTGGGGTTTTAAGCAGCTGTGCTATGCTCAGAGAGTCTTCAGGAAGATGATGTGAGTGCGACAACTGCAGTAGTGCAGAGCACTGCTTCCTATACTTTCCTCTGTCTATTATTAAATACTGTTTGGGGCTAGGTGGAAAGACTGTAAATGAGCTCAACTCATTGGCCTTTTCTTCTAAACTCTGCAACTTTCCTATCCGTGGAGAAAGGGAGTTTGTATGTATCTTAAACAGCTGAGCTACCTCTCTTACCAAGGCAAGTTTCAGTCCCCCTTTTGCTTTTCCAGTTGTTCCATCTGTGCCAACTCCATCCCTGGGAGGTGCTGCTGTCCTCTCGTCCTGCCCCTGCACAGGATGTTCTACGTTACTGGGTGCTGCACAGTTCCCTCCTGCTTGCCTGTGATTCTGCCCTGCAGAACCATTTCCGAGGACTCAGCTGTTAGCAGACCTGGGTTGTCAAGGTGGGACAAGATGCTGGTATGTGATGCTTTGTCGCACACAAAAGACCGCAACTTTTTCTTACTGCTTTGAGCAAGTCCAGCTTCTTTTGGGCTGCCTAACAGCAGTGTTTCCTCACAATAAATGTGTTCTGAGATATGTAGCATAGGAGCTGATAAAACTCCAGGTCAGTATCACCAACTGTCATGTGCACAGTAAAGTAATTTTGTGATAATTGCTGGCAGCAATAAAAAGGCTGGGATCAACACACTACTGCTTCCTGCTCTGAGGCCGGCAGGGACTTTTGTCATATGGCTGGAGACTGGAAAAGTGGGTGGAGAAGCCATTCGTTTACTTCTTGTCTGGAGGATGAAAGATGATTAGCTTGGTAAGAAAAAATATATATTTTTTTTCTTTCTTGGTAAAGGAGAAGATTAGAAGACTGTAGAAACAGCAAAGTTGATTGTGCTGAGACTGTTATCTTCTGGCTGCTGCTGAGACTGAGGGGACAGCCCTGACTTCCAAAACTGAAGGATTCCATCTGTAACATGATGGAAAGCACAACAATAACAGCAGAGCAGCAAGATCCCAGGCTGCAGCAAATGAGGATTCACTCAAATGCAACAGCAGTGGGCACAGAAATAAGGGAAAGAAGCTGCTTACCTTCGGAAGGCCTCAGGTATGCAAGGACCCCCAGAGAGATCCACTTGCCTCTACTGCCAACCCTTGATTGAGGTCTAGGAAGGGGTGAATCCTGGCTCCATCCCTTCCAGTCACTCAGGGTCACTGCATGCACCTGAGCTCCCCTGGGTTGGCCTTGCCTTCCCACCAGGTGCTCCATCACTGTTTCAAGCCATGACTTAGCAGTTGCACTACACCATCTTTACCACTTCGTCCTTTGCTGTCTCATTGTACAGTCTAGAGTATTTCTTTTAGTTCTGTTGAAGCAATTCTTGCAGACATGTTATTCCCAATCTCCAGTATGGCTTTCCCATTCCTGGCCTTGCTGTTAGTCCATGTGTGGATACTGGGGCTTGCAGGCATTCCCTCTTTGGTGTACTCACTACTTTCTTTTCTGCTTGGCTTTTGTGACCATTTATTTTAGGAAAAGAGCAGATGATGGAAAAACATTGTCGCATGCTACAGACATCTGTGCTTTGGCCAGTTCAGTGGAACTTCTATTTCTTAAGGTTAGTCTGCAGGGATTTTTCTCTGTTTCTCTTCCCTCGCTGTTCATATTAGTTCTTCATCAGTAGTTCTCCTTCAGCTTGAACAAATTGCACCAGTTTAATAAAACTGCTCATTAAACAGGTGCAATTTTCTTCTGGAAGAATGCCCTTATTTCCCTTGTTTTGGTCAGTGTGCTTTATTTGAGTAGTTTTAATGTAAGGTAATCAGGAGCTTTGAATCTGGGAATGCTATTTTAGTTTAAAAACGGTTTGAATTAAACTAACAGAACTTATGTGGTAGCAGGCATCTTCCAACTGAGGGCTGAAAGGAGGGAGATGACAGATCAGCACATTGCTAATGTCTTTTCTCTGGCTTGAGTTTTTTTCAAAGCAAAAGTGAAGACTTTCTTGCAGATCCTTTTGTTGTACTGCAGGAGAAAAATTCTTGTTACTTGTCTCATTTGAGCTTCTTTTCCCTACATCTTATCTAGCTAAGGTGCTCTAATGAGCTTCTAACGCTGTTTTTAAAATAATTTGAACAATTGTATTGTCAGAAGATGTCTTTCAGACCAAACTGCGGTCGGAGGGAGTTGGAAAGTGCAGGTTTGTAGCAGATGAAGTTTTCTTGGGACATGATTATGCTTTGAGGAGAAACTGCATGCAACCTGGCAACTGTCGCTTCCCAGGCAGCTTGCCTTTGTGTCTGTCTCTCTGTGGGGCATGTGCAGAGCTATGGGACCAGTAACACCTGTGACCCGTTATGTCCTTTTCCATTAGCTTAATGTTTCCTGGGTTAGAAGGATAGTGTGTCCCTTGATCTTATCACAGATTAACAAAAAAAACCCTGTACCTGAGTTTAACTCTGTGAAGTTTAAATCACTTCTGCTTCAAAGTGCCTACTAGA